CTTTCTCAAAAATAAAATAAAAAAGGAAGTAGAAAGAAAAGAAAAACAAAAGCAAGAACTCAGGAAGCAGAAGAAAAATAAAGAGACTACCGGTCGCCGGAGACGGAAGATCTGACCGGTGTTTTGGTCTAGTCGACTAAATTGCATGCCCTAATTAAAATTTTCAAGTAAAGTAACTAAGTATATTCTATATTGGGCCCTTCTTTTTTTTTGAATTGGGATTGGGCTCTTGGAATTGCTCTTGGGGACGGCCAAAAAGAGGTGAGCCGTACCCAATTTTGATTGCGGTACCCAATTTTTTGGAAACATCCCAGGGACGTATTTTTGAAGTCCCCGTACCGTACCCGTCCCCGGTACGGGAAATGTCCATAAAGTGCCGTGCCCGTGCTTCCTAGCTGGGACTAACTAAGGATTCAGAGTACATATATTGCAGGTGCATCTTCTTGATCCAGGTTTGACGGGCTCACAGTCATCCAGAAGGTATATGTGGTTTCAATCTATAACACAAACAATGTAACCATTCATTTGCCATGAATGATCACCTTAACAAACTAGCTCAATGGCAGCAAGGGATATTAGCAATATAGCAGGTCTCAGGCCACAAAATTGGTTGCTTTTCTTTTGTCGCATTTTTACATTCAAGTAACATTAAATCTCTTTTACTCCCTTAGAAACCCTCAACTCTAGATTATCACCCAAAAGTTCAGCTTAGATGGCGACTCACAAACCAAAACGTCTCGAAAAACATCATGGAACATGACTCGGTGTTTTCTACTAAGCTCATCTGTACATTTGCGAGGAAAGGACTAAAAGTGGACTTTAATGTATGTCATGCATCCCAATTTTGAGAAAAATATTGCTTTGTGTTCATAAGTAATGTTCAAAAGGTAACAATTTGCTTCTATAGTGTCTCCATTCATTAACAACTGGAGGTTATCCCCAAGTAACTCCATAAACCACTTTAACGAGAAGAATAAAACATAGGTAGATAAATAACAATCTTAGGACAAAAGGAACAATACAGAATAGCACTCACAGGCTAAAGCTAGTCTAAATTCTCTCACACATTGTCTGTTTATTCTATTGAATCTTGCCAAAGTACTCCAATAATCCAGTTCATCAAAAAACATATCAATGTCATATGGTTTATCTCATACCTACGGCCCACTTTTGGTTAGTCCTATTTCTTTTTACCCTGTTCATGACATAGTATATGCCTTACTCAGCTCCTTGTTCCCACCCAAGACCAAAAAGGAGTATCATAATTCATACATAGATCCTCACACTTAGACACTTTGCATTAGAAAACTGGGAATGCCGTATCATCCATCTGATCATTTAAGGTGAGCTATAACCTAGTTATCTTGGAATGCTTGTCATAGTCCTAGTGCAGCATGATGGAATTACCTGCAAGTATCTGAAATAAATCCCAAATGGAAACTTAAAAGTAAGCTAAATCTACTTGAAAAGAAAAAATAAAAAAGCCTCTCACATTGTGCTGGATATATATATTCCATGCAATTGTGCTCCAATTGATAAAACGTGTCTAAACTCCACCAGATAAGTGCCTAGAGTGTTTTCCACAGCACACAAGACCAGCAGTTTCTGCATATTCTTCGCGCATCATTGAGGCCTTTCATATAAACACTATTCCATGGCCCCAACTCCAGTACTCCACGATAATCATGTCAAAACTCTTTTCCCCTCACTCTCAGTCTCAAATAAAGCTGATGTTGTGTTCATTCTAAGTACTATAACTGTTAAAAGGAATAGCACTTTATTGAGATCCAAGTAACAGATCTTTTTGTTTATTTTTACAGCTGACAGAGCAGAAAGGGCCATTACTAGGTTGATTTCCGAATTCAAAAATTGAATTGAACATCTCACTGGATTGCCCTCTATAACTTACCAGTCGTGGAACATCACAAACTCGAAACTTTGCCAAACTATAGATTGCTAATAAAATAAAACGCATCTCCTTGATCACAATCAATTAGACATACATCGATCTTGCAATATAGTGTAGAGAAAAACATCTCTAACGAATAAGGTAATAATGGGTAACAGACTAACAACTTATATCATTGATGTGGTCAAGCATTTGAAAAAAGGGAAAACTACTCTAATTCGCCGACGAAATAAACATCAATTGTTTAATTCAGCAACAATATCATATTAAACTACAGACATTTCTCCCAATGGAATGATAACTACACATTGTAAGTTCCACAATTGAATATAAGCAAAGCGGAATAAAAGGTTTGTAGCTGATAAACCCTAGGACAAAATAGGGTTTAAGGGTATCACAGAAAAGAAGTACAACAACATCGGTCAATCAATCAATCAAACAACACAGTCAAGAGAGATAGAAACTCCATTAAAGCATAAGAAAAAGGGGAGAGAGAAAAAAACCTGCCAAACACGACGAAGACGTTTCTTAGCGTTAGCCTTACGAGTAGAAGTAAGCTTGATTCTCTTCCAAAGAAGACCACCAGAATCGTGTTTTTTGACAATCTCCATCATTCTTGTTCCCCAGAAAGCTCCCAATCCTCCCATTTTCTCTCTCTTCCTCCGAGCCCAGTATAGCCCTTGTTTGTAACTCAATCTTCTGGAGAATTTGCTAATTCGAGTGTTTGTGTTTGAAGTTTGGCTGCGATTTGGGGGCCTCGTGGACTAGTAGTGAAGGAAATGGTACACTACACACTCGCATTGAGCGGCATTGCCTTCGTTCTTGTGTCGTGGAAAAATTAGGGATGCTGAAAATGAAGGGATGGATACAACTCGCAAGTTAATCGACCTCGGTTTGGGTGAAATTGATTTGAACCCCAACTCGACTTCGGGGTTGTTTAGTTTATCTTATTTTTACTTATCTCATTTAGTATAATCTCATCGAATATCTGTTTTGATCAAACTTTGACCGTATGAGTACGATAATCTATAAAGAAAAAATATATTAAGTGAGATCTTAGGTTCGTAATAATGTGTACTTTATTATATGTAATTTTCAAAAAATATATTAAGTGAGATCTTGTTAGATTCGTAATAATGTGTACTTTATTAATATGTAATTTTCATAATTTTTTCATTACCAAATTAAAGAGATGTAGCAATAAAAAACCGCACATAAAACGATGATCTGATCTGAACTAATTTTTTTTGACCTAATCTGATATGAACTTATTTTTTTTCTGAAATAAGTTGAACTAAACAAGACCCAAGTTGTGACTTGGCTCGAAAAACTAATGAGAAATCTTATTTATTACTCGTATAATAGTATAATTTTTAAAAAAATAAAAAAACTCCCTCCATCCCCGAAAGAATGACCCTTATTGCCAAAATCTAGTTCCAAAATTATCATCCCATTTGCATTAAAATATTCTCCAATTGACAACAATATTTGTGCAAAGTTAGCTTCTCCGTGTAAATTTTGATTTTCCATATACTTTTATTACTTTATCACTCTACTTTTTTGCAACCTCATATGAATTTCTTTTTCCAATGCACTGCACTTTTACTACTTCCTCTTTCACTTTCTTAATTCTCGTGAATTTTGCCCATAAGGATCATTATTTCGGGGACGAAGGGAGTAGTTATTATTTTTAATTGCACAAAATAACAATTAGGGTGCCCTTATCTTGAGGGAAAAACCTAATTTGTCACTATGAAAAATCGAGAGGAGTTGAGGGCTACGATTACAATCAATGTACATTTCAATATTTTAAATGTGACCTAGTTTAGATATCCAATCTACTACTCTGTCTCCTTTTTTTAGTATTCCATTTGTTGTAGTAGGAGTTCAATATTCGTGATAACATGGGGAGGTTTTCAAATGTCATTGATGCAATCAATAATTAGAAGGTTATCGCCTTCGATGGTTATTTTTGAGATGCCCTCCTTGATCGCTATTAGAAGACCTTTTTGTTGTGCTATTACTTGGTGTGGATCCTAGGTTGAAAGTATTTGCCATTGTTGCAATGCCATTGTAATCTCTGATAATGAAGCTCACTAAACTACATAAACAACGATTATTTATATGAGGTGTTGAAATTGAGTTTGTGGGTACTGAGAAATGAAATTTGGAAGGGTGTTTTGATTTGGATGGTCAATATTTGTGGTATGAGATATGTTTTGAGAGAGAATAAAGGTGTTTTAATGTTTGGCACACCAACCATTTGCCATATATCGTTTAGTGCTATTCGTAGTTACTATTCATGACGAGCAAAGATGCCTGAATGAAAACTGTTGTGGTGAGAAGACCTCGCCATGGTATACCTAAAATGATTCTTGCACTCTATATGTGTTGCTTTAGGTTTGTATCTCTCTTTAATGGAAAGATAAAAAGGTCCTCTGAATCTCTTAGAACCTTGAAATATTTCTTGGAAAGTCTTGATTTGACTAAAAGGTGTCAATGTGTCATCAACCTAAAACAACATTAAATTTTTTGTGTGTATAAGGAGCCAAAAAAGTATTGATGTAGACAAATTTCGATATGTACACATCCTCAAAACTACATCTATTTTAAGAATATCAAATTTTTATATTTTTTGCAGGTAGGAGATATTTATGTTTTAAGACGTACTATTTTTGAAACCATGAAATGTCAAATGAGGTAAAAAATTAGGGACACATGAAGAATTAATTCATATTTCTAAACCTATTATATTCGTATATTGACTATGGTTGGAGTATCAACTTATAAACACCGTAATAAAAGAGTTGTCAAAAGGTGTCCCAATCCGACCAAATTCCGATAATAACCGCACTAAACCCCCCCTCCCCCCCCCAAAAAAAAATGTCTAATACATTTAATTTGTATAGACACATTGAGAATAAGGAATATCCTAATTAATTAGAGCTTTCTGCTAATTTTAGAATTGATTCTAATCACTTGTCATTGTGGTTCTCCAAACACGAAAAACATAATTCTATGGACACATTGAGCAATTACTAGTAAGTATATACCAAGTATAAACCTTTATTTGTTATATATTATGAATCTATGACCCGAAAAGGAACCGACTACAGACCCAACCCAAGCCAAGGCCCAAATCGCAACAAATAGCGGGAAGTCGGGAAGAAAAGGTAAAAGAAAGAGGATAATCTCATAATCATATTCAATTCAATTGATTCCTTCATTTAATTAATCGACATTATATTATAATTATAATAAAATTAATATATTAATCAAAAATACCCAGAATCAGCAGGAAGAAGGCGATCTTTCTCCAATTCGTTAATTTTCTACTACCAAGCTCAACGTACGTCGCCATTTCTTTCTTTGATTTCGATGATCACTACTTTTTCATCATTTTATCATCTTTCTTTAGATTCTGCGTTTTTTTTAGGCATGTCAGTTAATTTTTCTTAAATTATGGTGTTAAAGTTTGCAATTTTCATGCAAAATAGGTTATATAATATATAGGTTGTTAATTTTGTTGAATCATACGTGAATCTTATTTAATTTTCTAAATTATATTGTTTGATTTGATTATGTTTATAAGTTTTCGTGTTCGTCTGATTTTTGCGTTAGGTTTTATAATTTTGCAAATATGATGGGAATTATGAGGCAGAAAGTGGCTTCTGGAAGCTTCTCTCAACCGGTTTGTGGAAGTTTTCAATTTTGTGTAATATTTAAACTTGTAATTTATGTTCATGATTAAATTTGGTGATGAAATGATGGAATTATTATGAATTGCAGTTGCAGAGGATTAGACCTGCTATTTTGGGTTTGAGAAGCTACTCATCTTCTGGAAAACAGGTTGTTTTTCTTATTTTTCTGTAATTTATTTCTTTTTTAAGTTTTTTAAGGTTTTAAGTTTGATTATATGATGTTTTGTATGGATGGAGTGAATATTGACTGAATTTTTAGTGTTCTATTAGTTACCAGCCTTGACTCGTCTTCATGGGATTGTTGTCGTCTACCCTTGTTGTTATTGCCGTCTTTTCTGATATACATTTCAAAGTTGTGTGAGTTGTATATTTGTTTATGAAATGTGTTTATGTATTTGGTTTTTATACGTGTTAGCTATTACTTTGTATGTTGGATAGAAGTTGCTTTTAGTTCATAATGCTGTTCTATGCTAGGTCCGTGTCCTGCTTTTGTTCTTGTTACTTTTGGTCTTGTTTTGACTTCAAATTTGTTGGAAATATATGTAATTTTTCATTTTGGATCATAGATGATGGTTAGGGATGCCATTAACTCTGCTATTGACGAGGAGATGGGTGCTGATCCTAAAGTATTTTTGATGGGAGAAGAGGTATGTAGAATTTGTTTTAGAAATATTTTCCATGGAATCTTTCCTATTATCTTCCGAAGTTTGTTAATTGTACATAATTTTATATGCAGGTTGGGGAATATCAAGGTGCCTATAAGGTAAAACTTATTAAAGAGATGAAATAAAGGATGTCGACATGTCTATAGTTTGGAAGTTTTCTGAGAGAATTGCTAATTGTTACCTTACTCTACATCTCTCTGGTTTGAATTTTGTTTACTTAGATCACAAAAGGATTGCTCGACAAGTATGGTCCCAATAGAGTTATTGACACACCAATCACAGAGGTCAGGCTTTCCCACTTGCTTCATGCTCGTTGTTGTTGTAGTCTGACTCTATCTTGGATGCCTGCACAATGCTAACTTGGGTTTGACCATTCTTTCATCTTTTGTCCTACAGGCTGGTTTCACCGGTATTAGTGTTGGTGCTGCTTTCCATGGCCTGAAGCCTATTGTGGAGTTCATGACTTTTAACTTTGCTATGCAGGTTACAGCCTCTCTTCCTTCCACACTTTTTAAAACAAAGTTTCCCAGAATCTATTGAATGTTGTTTTGTAATCCATACTCCCTACATCTGTAGCTCTGTACTAAATTGGGAAGGCATCAGATCATTTTGTCAGACAAGTAGCACAATATTCCAGATTTTCAGATTCTTTGTTATCCGCTTATAAAATTACTCTATGCATGGGAAGAAAGGCTGTATATCATGAATGTTTGAACTTTTGATTGTACACGGCTTCATGCTAGTTTATAAAGCATGTATTTTTTGTTGCTATTTTTCTTTGTTTCTTTTAGACTTTAGAATTTAGATGTTAGGAAAATGATAAATGTATTGACTAAACTCTATTTAATTTATGGCAGGCAATTGACCACATAATAAACTCTGCTGCAAAAACATGCTACATGTCTGCAGGCCAGATCACTGTTCCCATTGTTTTTAGGGGTCCTAATGGTGCTGCTGCAGGAGTTGGTGCCCAGCATTCCCAGGCATGTTTTGTCAACTTCTCCTCTTTCTATTCTGTTTTACTTTAAGTTGGAAGTAAATCATTACTTACAGGAAGTCAGTGGGAGTGATGTTGTTAAGAATAATCCTTTGTCTCCTCCTAACTTCCAGCCATATATGTGATGTATGTTCTCACCAGTGACCTTCCCTTAAATTTTTGGCAGTGTTATGCACCATGGTATGGCTCTTGTCCTGGATTGAAGGTGTTGACTCCATACTCAGCCGAGGATGCTCGGGGATTGTTAAAGGCAGCCATTAGGGATCCTGATCCAGTTGTTTTTCTGGAGAATGAAATACTGTAAGTAGATCATATCTCTCTGCTGTGTCCGTGTGAGTTTGCAGTGGTTGATTTAGTTTCTTAACTGATTATATATCTTTAGATATGGAGAGTCATTTCCGATTTCTGATGAAGTTGTAGATCCCAACTTTACTATCCCTATTGGAAAGGCCAAGGTATCATCCTTAATCTAGATTATTGAAATTTATTGTTCAACATGTTGCATCGTTTCACTTCTTGTAAGTATCTCTGAATATGTTACATTACTGCTCTTTTTCTCACCTATAGATTGAAAGGGAAGGGAAGGATGTGACAATAACAGCATTTTCAAAGATGGTGGGTTTTTCTCTCAAGGTTAGTGAACAATATTTCATCATCCCCTTTTTGTGAACATGTATGATGGTCTGCATGTCTTTTTGCTTAAATTCAACACTTGTTATATGTTGCACCATGTTGCTAGAGATCCTTAGCATGTATTACACAATGCTTATAATGTATAAATGCGTCTTGTTTAAGATGGATATTGTCATCTAAATATTCTATTTCCGACCCTTCACTAATGTCCAGGCAGCTGAGATACTGGAAAAAGAAGGAATAAGTGCTGAGGTAAACATCCTTATCACATTTGATCTTGATTGAACATGTTTTAAGTGAAAAACATGATTATTTTATTATTTTTCAGGTCATTAATTTACGATCAATTCGGCCTCTGGATAGAGCATTGATCAATGATTCTGTCAGGAAAACAAGCAGATTGATAACTGTTGAAGAAGGGTTCCCACAGCATGGTGTTGGAGCTGAAATCTGGTTTGTTCTCTTCTCATGACATGATTAGGATGTTTTCTTAAGTTCATGGTGTTACTGGATAGTTGTGTCAGTCATCATTCAACTAGGATAACCACATTTCGACCTGCTGTGTCTGTAAATGCTGTAGTCTTTAGGGTAGACAGCGTGAGTATTTTGCTGATTGCATCAGCTAGCGGCAAGGAATCTCTAATTCTTAAATACTTCATACTATTTTATTGGTCATTACTTATCAAATACAAAGATCTCACCATCATGAATCTTTTGTGTTTTATTCTCCTGATGTTTGGTCTGGGTATTGGAGAGGGGTTTAGAGGAATTACGAGGAACATACATTCCTTGTAATCCGAATAGCTTGTAAACTTATGCTTCTATACCAATATGCTTTAAAGCTTAATATCTTACAACATGTTATCCTAAAATGAGTATTATCTAGAACTAACTATGAAACATAATCCCCAAGGGTGTGTGTAGGAAAGCTTGAAGTAGTTGGACTCCCCAAATTCCTCATAGGGTGAGGTTTATAGTGTATGGTGGAACACTGGACGTAATAAACATTCAACAAATGACAAATTCATTTTACTACTTTTAATCACTTATACTGCTCTCATAGACGAGTCGTAAGCTTCCTGCCTTCCAGATGTGACTAGAAGTGGAGCAGTCTCTGAGGAGATGCTCAACATTGTTTCCTTTTCCCCATTTCCAGAGCAGATTCACCACTTTCAATTAGAAAACCTTTCACATTAGCTATTAATCCACCCCCACAATCTAGCTCTTAAAAGCCTATTTCGTTAGAGTTCGCTAATGCTCTCTGATGCCTGAAGTGCCTGATAATGATAATTGATGATTAAATTAGACTATAAGAGCAGAACTACAGAACCAAGTGTGTCGATGAGACATCACATCTGATTCATCAATTTTCTTCCCTTTCACATTTCAAACATGTGGTTTCTAGGGAAAATACTAAGACTAATCTGCTTACAGCTTACCTGAATATATTAAGGCTGATGTGAGTTTTCTGTTTCTCTTGATCTTCTTGAGTTGCTTGATTTGCTGCACCTGTTCACATTCTCTGATGTTCTTGACAGTACATCTGTTATTGAGGATAGCTTTGATTATCTTGATGCACCTATTGAGAGGATTGCTGGGGCCGACGTACCAATGCCTTATGCACCCAACCTTGAGAAAATGGCTCTACCACAGGTTGTTTTTACTGTGTATCATGTTTGTGTGAATGCATTTTGCTTTCAGATTTTTATTTAGGAATATCTGTTAGTCATTTTAAAAATATTTAAAAGATATTACTTGAGTTCCTTGGTTGATATCTGAGAGTGGTTATTTAGCTCTGATTTTCAACGATCTCTTGTTGCTTTGCTAATTGGATACACCAGATTGAAGATATCGTATGTGCTGCAAAGCGGGCATGTTATAGAGCAGTACCAGTGGCAGCTGCAGCATAAGCTTTACCATACCTTTTATGTACCTTTCAGATTTTTTTTTATTTTTTTTTTTATGATGACAGAGTGAATTTTTTCTGGTGATGGCACAAATATGGTTCAGTTTGATTTTTCTTTGAAATAAGTTTAAAGTGCGGGAGATGGACAATTCTTCATGAGCTTTTTTTGAGGAAATTCTTTGTTGTTGTAGTGTATGCATTTTCTCTTAGCTTTGTTTCTTAGCTTTGTTTCTTGTTTGTGCGATTCAAATCTTTTTGTATGGGATTTACTTTTTGTTGCTCTTTACATTTGTCCAATTTTTTTTTGATACATTTGTCACTTTCTCAAGCAAGGTAAGTCCCCATAAAGCCGTGACCTTGAGGTATTGAGTTCAACCCCTCCCTCCCCTTTCAGAGGGGCCGATCTACGGCTGAACTTGGGGAGTTGGGGACTAACCTGTTAGGGCCTGAGAGGTGGACTGAATAATTGAATAACGCATTGATGAATGACCTTTGAAGCTAATTAATGAAGTACAAACATTTTGAAGAGTCATGTCCCTTATGAGATAATTCAAAAACATGTACAAGTTCTACCGAGTTGCTTCGGACAATGCCTTAAACAGAATGTAAATCCATTTTGATGATCTTACATTAACCATACCTACTTGTTCAAATCAAGTGAAAAGTTTGATCTTGTGTCAATTGTATGGTATATAACACTGGAAAAATAGGTTCTTTATGAAGGTCGTGTTTTGACATGATTTAACGATATATTAAGACTCATATTCAATATGCGTATATATTACTATTGTCGTAAGTATATTATTGGATTTTTCTTGTGTTGGAATAAATATCTAGTACCATAATCATGCTTGTTTTAATGTGAATTAGTTTAAAACATGATAACTTATGGTACTTTATAATTGATTATAATTATAATACTTTCGTAATCGACAAGATTTGAAAGTGGGAACGAAGTTGGTAGGTCATAGAATCCATGTGAAAGCAGTTGGCAAATACTTAGGAAAAAAACAAATTCTTCATAAGAGATATAAAGTTGAGTGGTACTTCTGTTACAAGTGCGTTAAGTCGAATCCTCCTTGTTTGCCTGGTTGGAGCATTTTTAGTAACAAACACGTCTTTTTTGACCGTAAATTATCAAAAATGTAATCTCCTTTTTAATCCCTTTTTAACCTATGTTTTTTTTTTCCCTATCATTATAAATTTATTAAAAGCTGTGTTAATGAGGTACCTCTGTTCTCATCTCACTTGCTCATGATGCAAAACGATCAACTATGATTACTATAAACACTTTTGGAAACCCTTTTTTTTTTCTTTTTCTTTTTTTTTTGGGAAACCTTTTGGAAACCTTTTGCAATAACATTACAAAAAGGCAACATAAATATTGTGGGGTTACAATATAATTGTAAATCTTGTCATTGTAACAATGTTCTCAAGTCTTCACCTTACCCCCTTTGCTATTTGAATGTGTTGTTCTCTACTTAGTCTATTGGAGTAAATTGTTATTGCGCTAAACCCTTATAAGTAAGGTGTTCTTCATGATTGTATCACAATAACATTTGTCATAGTCGTCTTATATCTATCCTGTGGCCTTTACTTTGAGGGGTAAACGAGAGTAATTTTTCACAATTATCTGAAAATAGTACTTCTTCCGTTTTAAAGTCTATTAGTCATTTGCTTTTGACACAATTTTAAGATGAAGTATAGAGTATATAAAATGAGACATTCTATATGAAGAAAATACAATACTTCGTATAGATAAGGAGAAGGGTCATATCGAGCTGAAACCTCTCATAGGTCAACCCAGTCCGGGTTAGCAGGCTAGGTCCTTTAGGAGTGGGAGGGAAGAAGAGTAAGGAATCCTCACCCTAAAGTGCTTTTAACAGGGTTTAAAATAGGCTATGAGATAACAAATCTTACCATTAGATCAAGCTTTGCTAGGTACTATAATTCGGAGGCCAAGGGAATATCAAGTATACAAACTAGGTACTATATCTGAATGGACTAATATACTTCTTAAATCAATAACCGTTTAGTGGATTAGCTGTTAGCTAGCATATCTTAAATCACATCCTTCATCATTTTTCTTTAGGAAAAACAAAAGTTAAAGAGTATAATACTATTGGACTGCTTTGACTTTCCTTTTTGTCTTCTGTTTAAACCTCAAATTTTCAAAATTGTGCCAAGTTCTATTACGTGTCACCGGATACTTCATTTGAATCATTGTTTGTGGGAAAAACTATTACACACTCGATAGCTACTTCTATTTGAATACTAATCACTAAAAGTTGATTTCTTTGTTTTAGCTTTTTGGTAGAAGAGAATTGAAAAAAGGGATGGAAGTAGGAATTGTCAATTGATTTAGTTTTTTATGGTGAGGACATACTAAGTTAATATGGCAACAAGACTTTACAATTAAGCCTTTGAACCTTCATAGGTAATCTTGTTAGCATTTGTCGATGCAATCATGGAATCAATATGAGTAGTTTTTGCTCATTATTGAGTCAATAGCTTCAGCAAGATATTATTTTACCTCTTTTTCACGAATTGAATGTTGGTAACGATTTACCTTGTTTTCTTACAGGTTGACCGTTGGTAATGTTCACCTTAATTTTATTTTATTCCTTAACTTAAAACTTACATTTTTTTTGTTGGAAGTATCTAAAGAAGTATTTCATTCCGTACAAAGGTTTATCAAATATATTACTCCTCGGAGTTTTTTTCAATAGTTGACAATTAATTAATTTACAGTGTTATGTTGACATAATTCTTATCATGCACCTAAAATCATAATTCTGAAATATTATATTCTTGATCAAACCAAACGGCCGGCAAACATCATTTTTTCCTTTTCTTTCTAGGTGCAATTAACCAGGCAACTAACAAAATTTCATTTGTAAAATAACTATTGTGGAGATTTACATTTGTCAAAGGATTTAAATCGAATAGTTCTTTATAATTTGTATAATAATCATGCATTTTTATAACCATATTTGAATAAAAAGTCTCTTCAATAAAAAAAAATAAAAAACACAAATCACAAATTTCTTTCATAACTAATTTTCCCGTATCAAAATCAATTTCATGAGACCGTGTCATATAATATTTGTGAGTAATTCTTGATAACCATCACTACGGGTGGTCAAAACTTCGAGTTGTAGATTACTATGGTATGGAGTAGATTGTTAGGTAGTGTCCATTTCTTGAAGGATCAAAATGAAAAGACACACAACAAAAACTTAACAAGAATAGCAAAACATACTTGTATAATGGGAGAGAGTCACCTTCATTTAGCCCACATCTTTTGCCACAAATAATGATAAATCAAAGCTTTCTTCTAGGACAGGTAACATTCATAGGGTTTGACTGTTGACTCAACAAATAATATTTTCTACCAGTCAAAGCCAAATAATGCGGCCTTCTAAACTTGAATGCACTCTTCATCATTCTCGTAAGCAAACATGTAAATTACAATTTTAGTCTTCTTCTTCACGTCTGTCTTTTCCTTCTACTCCTTTTGGTATTGATTTGGAGGTTACTCATTTTTCAAAAAAAAAATTTGGCCTCAATTCTTCGCCCATACTTGACCGACAATTGCTTCTTTAATTTAATCTTTAGGCTACGCTATACTGTCACAGTTGATCAAGATATCAACTCTTTATTAGATAGCAAATTCTTTTGTTTTTTTTCTTATATTCGACAAAGTAGGTAACGTTTTTGAGACAAGACAAATTTAATTTCACCAATTTAAATAAATAAATAAATAAATAAAATAAAAAACCTTGACCGACAACATGCATATGAACACCTTATATGTATAACTCGACTTCTACTTGGAAACATACGAAATACTCTTTTCGTTTCTAAAGTTTATTTAACCTTTCTGTTTCTGAATTTATAAAAAAAAAAAAAAAAAAAAAAAAAAAAAAAAAAAAAAAAAAATTGACCATGTAAAGGTTTTGCATTAATTCTAACAAAATTACCTTTTTACATCAAATTTTATGAAATGAACATTATATTACTTTCAATTCCATTACAATATTTATGGTATATATGATACAATATCAATATTTTTGATAAATTATACAATATCATTTAATAATTGATAGATTGTTTCTCTCTTCTACACTCTAGCCTCCATTGTTAATTTTGAAGGGGCTTTTATCATATTTCACCGGCGAAAAGCCTCAATCTTTGTTTCTTTTACGCTTTTTTTTTTGTTATTTATTAGATTATAATAATGTCTCATTCGAAAGAAAGGGTTTATCTCCTTCGAATGACAAGGTTTTTTCAATCTCCATCGGAAGACAAGGTTTTATTTGCGCTTAATATGGTCTCTAGTTGTGCGGGGCTACGATTGATTATTGTCCGAATTCGGGTTACGGAATCAACACAAGAATTTTCTCTCTCACAATCAAATTATAAAGCGGGGACAGATCCACTCAAAAATTTGTATGAGACAACGAATCGAGAATGTGATGAATTTTTATATCTATGTATTTGGATTCTTAGCCCTTTCCCCGGTTAATTGTTGTTTGATTTTGTTAAATTTGTTTTCATTATCATTAATAATTTAATTGTCAATTGTAAATGTTGTATGGCTTTCATTAATGAAAATTAATGTCCTTTGAAATTTCTTTCAAACAAAAAAATAATGATAGATTGTAAATAATGCATAATACTCTCCATAACATTAATACTTTACGTAATACTCCCTTTTCTTTTCTTTTTTTTTTTTTTTTTTTTTTTGTTTTTATGGTAATAAAAGTGAAAAACATAGTCAAAACCTCAAAGCAAGACATTTAAATAGCATAAAAACCAAAGTGAAATAATAATTAATAATAATAATAATAATACGGTAAGTATAGTACACGACGATCTTATAGGAAACTGTCACTTGGAATAATTGGAATTCTTAGCTTGGAAAGGCTCCTCTTCTAGTCTCTTTTCAACATTAGTGTAATTCAATACCAAAAGGAAAATTATGTCCGAATTAGGGACACCAATATATGGGAGACACATTAGATTACACTGGATAAGGATTAAGGAATCAGAAACCATTATTTATTTTTAAAAAAAATACAATTAAAAGAACAAATATATATATATATATATATATATATATATATATATATATATATATATATATATATATATATATATATATATATATATATAGAGGAAGGCTCATGTAAGAACTCTCCTCTATATAAGAACTCAATCTTATATAAGAACCAATCTCAACCATTTATTAGTTTTGATCCAACCATCTAAAACCATCCTTTAGTAATGGCATTTCTGTAATTCTTTTTTTATGTTCTAAATTTTTTTGCCTACTCTTATGTTCTAAATCTAGTCTACCTATTTTCTAATTTTTTTTTTCTATGTTCCAAATTTAGTCTACTTATATACTAAAGTTTTTTTTTTTTTTTTTTTTTTTTTTTTTTTTCTTCCTATGTTCTAAATTTTTCCAACCTATGTTCTAAAGTTTTTTTTTCTTCTTCTTATGTTCTAAATATTCTTTTACCTATGTTCTAAATTCTTTTGCCTATGATCTAAATTCAGTCTACTTATGTTCTAAAGTTTTTTTTTTCCTAAGTTCTAAATTTTTACTACCTATGTTCTAAAGTTTCTTTTTTTTTTTCTTTTTTTTTGTTTACGTTCTAAATATTCTTTTACCTATATTCTAAATATTCTTTTATCTATGTTCAAATTTTTTTTTTTCTATGTTCTAAATTTAGTCTACTTATGTTTTAAAGTTTTTTTTTCCTGTGTTCTAAATTTTTTCAACCTATGTTCTAATTTTTTCCTATATTCTAAATTTTTTCTACCTATGTTCTAACGGTTTTTATTTCCTATGTTTAAAATATTCTTTTCCTATGTTCAAAATTCTTTTGCCTATGTTCTAAATTCAGTCTACTTATGTTCTAAAGTTTTTTTTTTTTTTTTTTTTTTTTTTTTTTTTTTATGTTCTAAACTTTTACTACCTATTTTCTAAAGTTTTTCTTATATAGTTATTTATAAATATTGCCTATGTAGGATTCGAACCTATATCAACTATGCATTTGCATAGTGCTCTACCACTTGAGCTAATAGGTTTTTAATATAAATCAACACCCTCCCATAGAAGCCGAGGAAAACAATCACATGCAATGTAGAAACTCAAATGCGACAATTTTGCATAAAGAAGATCTATGGACACCCCATTGAACTTAAATCTCATCACCGGGACAAAAGCATCAGGCACAGGGTGCAATTTTTATGGAACAAAGAATATCAATTGAGTACAATATGACCCTAGGGAGGGACTTTCTGAAAGGAGTTGTAGCATATACAGAAATAAGTAAGACTACTTGGTAACAAGAAATAAGTAAAACAGATACTGCTCAACCAAATTAAATCTCAATCAACAGGACACTTTCTCTTTGAGATGTGTACATTTATCTAAGCATTATTTTTTCTATTCTTATTAAATAATAGCATTGAATTATCACACTCAACAACTATCAGTTAATCACTACATAATACATATTCCGAGAAGCTGAAAGAAATCAATAACTACTTCAATATTTTGAACATAGCATGAATAGTCACAGCTCAATGTTGAAACTTGAAAGCAATGTTAAGTGTCAGAGGTGAAATCTTAGTGAGAGTCCTTTTTTTTTTCAAAATTGTCAGAATGTAAAAAGTTCCACCAGGCAGTGTACATTGTACAGTACATACTCTTACCCCTGATGTAGGATTTCAGGGTCTTCAAAAGTATTTGGAAAGTGGCCCCCTTTACAGATGAAACTCTAAAATAAACAAAACAATGGGGATCAAAATTCAAAAGATTACCTTATAACTTTATAAGGCTAATAAAATACTTCACCTTTATTGATTTGAACTTGTTTGTAGGGGTGGGACTTTTCAAACCGAACCGTGAAACCGCCCGTTACCGAACCGAACCATCACGGACCGATCCGTTTATAAACCGATAAATATAAACCGAAAACCGAACTGAACCGTTCAATATCAAACCGAAACCGAATTGAACCGCTGAATGTCAACCCGTTACGGACCGTAAACCAATAACAAACCAAACTGCGGAAATCCGAACCGAAACGAAACCGAACCGAATGGTTTATAAACCCGTTAATGACCCGAACCGTTTATAAACCGAAACCGTTTAAACCGAAAAAAAACCGTTTAAACCGAACCATTTGTAACCCGCTAACCGGTTAAACCGACCCGTTTATGAACCGAAACCGTTTAAACCGCACGTATAAACCGAACCGTTATAATCCGCTAACCGTCGAAACTGAACTGCCATAACCCGTTAAACCGTTAAAATCGAACTGTTTTCGAATCGCAACCTGTTTAAACTGATCCGATTACAAACTGCTTAATTCAAATTGAATTATTTACAACCTAAATGGCTAAATAGTAAATACAATTAATGTTAATAAATGTAGATCTAATCAAGCGGCGTAGGTTTATACAAAGGTTTATATCACCTAGATCTAGGCCAACGGCATTATTAATATCGTTTCAGATTACTTATTTATTTTAATTACAAGATATATCATTTGTATCATTTTCATTCCAGTAATAATGCTAGTCCACCCAAATTATCTTCATTGTTCCTTCATAAAGATATTCATGATCATCCAATAACACTCAAAGCCTCAAAGGTAACATAAGATTGGAGATGTATGAGATTGCGTTACACAAGTGGCATAAGCATTAGAATATTACTGTACTAGTCAATAAGGCGTACAATCATTCACATTATCACTTTATAAAACTTTCTTATACAAGTATTTTGTAAAGGAGAGGACTAAAATGTTTATAAAACATATTTTTTTAGCTTTTCTTAAATTAAACCAGATATTAAGTAAAAGAATTTTAATAAATACGGAGCCATCCCAAATCTGTAGCCACAATTATTTCATAACATTACCACAAATCCAGCAGATAAATAACATTAAAATTAGAGTAATATCAACAAGTAATTAAAAAAAGTCACCATTTTCATTAATTAAAATTCACAATACATATACCAATACATAATGAAACTACTATCACTACTACCCAGATTAGATTTCAGATTTATCAACTGAAAGATCATCAAGTTTAGGGTTGCAAAAAATGATACATGATAAGATGAAGGGAGGAGTGAGAATGTGAGTGATTTGGGAGCAGAATCTTGAAGCAGCAACACAACACCCAAGAGCAGAGGAAATAGCAGCAACAAGCAGGAACCAGCACACGCAATAACAGATCAGCAACTTATCAGAAGCAAGGAATAATATAAGCAGAAGGGACTCAGCAGGAACTTATTTTTGTTTTTCAAAATTGCTCTCAGATTTACGTTTATCGTATCATCACTGAGCAATGGCTGTTTTAACTTAAAACTTGAAAAATGCTGCCAGCAAGTACATATACATTGAAGTCTCAACATAAATGACAAGGGCAACGATGATTCAAGAAAAATTAAAACAACAAGCATAAGAAACAGCAGCAACAAAACTTATCATAAATTCATAACACAAAAGGCAGCAACACAGCACCTCAAGCTAGCCGGAGGCAGGAACCAGCTCATGCAGGCAACAATATAGGCAATAACAACTCAGAGACAACAACCAAAAGGCAAAAGCACTACCAGCAGGCAGCAACTCATAACAAGTTCAAGCAACTTCAAAATTATAGCTTTTGTTTTTTAAAACTGCTCTCAGATTTACATCACTGAGCAATGGTTGTTTTAACAAAAACTTGAGAAATGCTGCCAGCAAGTACCAAAATACATTTAACTATTTAAGTCTCAACATAAATGACAAGGGCAACGATTTTAAAAGTCTTGAAAAATGCTGCCAGCAAGTCTGAAAATAAATGACAAGGGCAACGATTTTTCAAGATAAAATAAACCACAATGAGACACAAATACCAGTTATGCAGATGAAGCACTTTCGGCTTCAATCTCTTTACCAATAAGGAGGACGTCTTCCTCAACATCCGCTTGATAACCACGACACCAATTTTGGGTGGTAACCAATGCCTCAACATTCTTTGGCAAAAGTTTACCCTTATATTTGATCAAAATACGACCACCCAAACTAAAAGAAGATTCAGAGGCCACCGATGTAATAGGAATGGCCAAAACATCCCTTGCCATATTAGCTAAAATAGGAAGAGAAGAAGCTTGAGATTCCCAGTACTTGAGAACGTCAAAATGTTTCCCTTGAATTAATCGCGAACGAGGTCCATTCAAATATGCCTCAAGATCAGCCAGAGGGCATCTAGTTGAATCATCACATTCGTCATCAACCTCATGCAACTGAAACAGATTTTTTATTAAAAGTTAAATTATGAAATTACAAATAAAAATAGAAGACTACCATTAATATTGAGTATATTGTATAACATAAATACCGTGAAAATATTTTGAGATCTCAACGTGCGATTAGAATTTTCAGATTGAGTTGTGTTTGAAGAGGCAGGATTTCTGCAGCTTGTATTAGATGCATTTGAATAAAATTTATAAAGGTCATAAAAAGCTTCCTTAATCATTTAATCTCGTGTAAGTTATAATTTATAAGAAATGCAATGTTTGAAAATGGAAATTGATTCAATACGATATTGTTAATGTATATGTAATTATAGATTAATTATTATGTATATCATATCGTACGAATGTACGGTTGGTATCATTATCATACTATCATAAGTATCATTGCCTCATTGAATTATTGGTATGTACTACAATCGATAAACATATTTACATATCTGATTATTAAAATTTAAATTTTTAAAACACTTGTTGATCAATCTAATTGAATACTTGTACATTCTTAATTATCGATTTATCGTATTATAAGTATCAACTCATTAAATCATGGTCATGACGCGATCTTTAAAACAATCATGAATTCATGACCCAAACCGCTTATAAACCGAACCGACATGATCCAAACCGTTCATAAACCGAACCAATTGAACTGTGTAAACCCTCCACTAAACCGGCCCATTTCAAACAGAACCGACATGATTCGCACCGTTTATAAACCGAACCGATATTGACCCGGGTAAACCCGCCCCTAAACCGACCCATTTCAAACCAAACCGGCTTGATCCAAACCGTTTGTAAACCGAACTGACATTGACCCGGGTAAACCCGCCCCCTAAACCGATCCGTATCAAACCGAACCGACATAATCCGAATCGTTTATAAACCGACCCGCTTATGACCCAAACCGAATTTAAACCGCAAAGAAATAAACCGAAACCAAACCGAGCCGTGACTAACCCAAACCGAACCAAACCGACCCGCCGGCTAAACTAAACCGTTTCAATCCGAATCGGTCCAAACCGAAACCGACTCAACCCGAGGTCAAACCGAACCGCTAGACCGAAGTCCCACCCCTACTTGTTTGTGATCAAACTCTTAAATTCTAACTTTCAAAACCTGTTTATAGGCCCAATGAACATAGTTACAATAAATAACATAAATATTTGTTTAACCCAAAAATTTCAGGTTGTTTGATAAATTCAGTTTAGGAGCTACAATTTTGTCCCCCCAAAAAAGAAATTATATATATATATAGGAAGACTCATGTAAGAACCCTCCTCTATATAAGAACCCAATCTTATATAAGAACCAATCTCAGTCATTTATTAGTTTTGATCCAACAATCTAAAATGATCATTTAGTAATGGCATTTCTGTAATTCTTCTTTTATGTTCTAATTTTTTTTTTGCCCACTCCTATGTTCTAAATTTGGTCTACTTATGTTCTAATTTTTTTTCCTATATTCTAAATTTAGTCTACTTATGTTCTAAAGTTTTTTTTTTTATGTTCTAAATTTTTTCTATCTATATTCTAAAGTTTTTTTTTTCCTATGTTCTAAATATTCTTTTACCTATGTTCTAAATTCTTTCGCCTATGTTCTAAATTCAGTCTATTTATGTTCTAAAGTTTTTTTTTCCTATGTTCTAAATTTTTACTACCTATGTTCTAAAGTGTTTTATTTTTTTTTTTTTTTTTTTCCTACGTTCTAAATATTCTTTTATATATGTTCTAAATTTTTTTTCCTATGTTCTAAATTTAGTCTACTTATGTTCTAAAGTTTGTTTTTCCTATATTCTAAATTTAGTCTACTTATTTTCAGCTCATATAAATTAGTGCTAATTTAATTTGTTTTATTGAATTTTTTTTTTTTTTTTTAAAAAAAAAACATTTGAAGTTTTTATAGTTATTTATAAAGATAACCTATATAGGAATTGAACCTACATCCTCTATGCATTTGCATAGTGCTCTTCCAATTGAGCTAATAGGTTTTATTATATGTTCTAAATATTATTTGCATATGTTCTAAAATTTATTGCTTAAGCTCTAAATTTTTCAATCTAAGCTCTAAATATATGTATGTTCTAAATTTTTTCCGTATGCTCTAAATTTTATACTATGCTCTAAATTTTTTCTACCTATTTTCTAATTTTATTTTTTCCGTACGTTCTAAATTTTTTCTATCTATGTTCTAAACTTTATCCTATGTTCTAAATTTTTTCTCCCCATGTTCTAAATTTTTAGTATATGTTCTAAACTTATTTTCTATGCTCTTATTTTTTTTTTTCCCAATATTCTAAATAGCCAATTTTTTTTTCCTATGATCTAATTTTTTTTTTTCCCAATGTTCTAATTTTCTAAGTTCTAAATTTTTACTATGTTGCAAATAATTTTCTTATGTTTCAAATTTTTCCTATGTTCTAAAGTTGTTCGTATATTCTACACCTATATTCTTAAGTTTTTTCTACCTATGTTCTATAGTTTTTTTTTTTTTTTTTTCCTATGTTCTAAATATAAAGGTCAAATTTTAGAACATAGGAGTTGTTTAGTAATATATAGATTATCAAACTTCATTATCATGTATGCTTTGATCAAAACTTACATATAGTGCAAATATAAAGGCTTAAGATGAAATTTAAATATAAAGGACAAATATTAGACTACAAAATAAGCTTTCAAACATATATGATAATCTTTAGAACATAACACAAATCTTTAAAACATTATGGAAAACTTTAGAACATAATGGAAAAATTTAGAACAAATTCTGAAACATAATAGGTAAACTTTAGAATATTAGTTTAGTTACCTTTTTCTGCAATAAGTAATTTCTTCTTCTTGTATATTAGTATGTCCTTTTGATTTATCTTCAATTTCGGCTTGCATTTTGCTGCAATTTTAAGAAATAAAAAACATTAGTAACATTCCAACATTAGTACATGAAGCTAATACGGACCACCTAATTGGGCTCAAACAATGATTCATTGAGTTATCACAATATTCAGAAATGAAGATAAGAAGCTAATGCCTTCTCTTTCATTTCCTTCTTTTTACTCACCTATGTTCTAAAGTTTTTTCTACCTATGTTCTAAAGTTTTTTCTACCTATGTATTAAAGTTTTGTTTTCCTATGCTCTAAATATTTTCTACCTATGTTCTAAAGTTTTTTTTTCCTATGTTCTAAATATTCTTTTACCTATGTTCTAAATTCTTTTGCCTATGTACTAAATTTAGTCTACTTATGTTCTAAAGCTTTTTTTCCCCTATGTTCTAAATTTTTACTACATATGTGCTAAAGTTTTTTTTTTTTTCCTATGTTCTAAACATTCTTTTACCTATGTTCTAAATTTAGTATACTTATGTTCTAAAGTTTTTTTTTTTTCTATGTTCTAAATTTTTTCAACCTAATTTCTAATTTTTTCCTATGTTTTAAATTTTTTCTACCTATGTTCTAAAGTTTTTTTCCTATGTTCTAAATATTCTTTTACCTATGTTCTAAATTATTTTTTTTCCTATGTTCTAAACTTTTTTTTTCCTATGTTCTATACTTTTTCATATGTTCCGAATATTTTTTCCTATGTTCTAAACTTTTTTTCTTCAGCTACAGCGAGCTCAAGAAAGCAACGGTTAACTTTAAGGAAGTTCTAGGAAAAGGAGGATTTTTGGTACCGTTTACAAGGGTGTTCTGGGAGATGACAGAGTAGTTGCTGTGAAGAAACTAGAAAATGTGTCCAAGGAGAAGAAGAATTTTGGGCTGAAGTGAGCACAATTGGTAAAATCAATTATATGAACCTTGCACGAATGTGGGGTTTTTGTTCCGAAAAAAATCATAGACTCTTGGTATATGAGTTTGTAGAAAATGGGTCATTGGACAGGCACCTGTTCTCAGTCAGAACTGTTTTTGGTTGGAAGGAGAGGTTCAAAGTTGCATTAGGCACAGCAAAAGGCTTAGCTTACCTTCACCATGAGTGCCTAGAATGGGTTATTCATTGTGATGTCAAACCTGAAAATATACTGCTGGATGAGAATTTCAAGCCAAAAATTTCAGATTTCGGCCTTGCAAAGTTATGTCAAAGAGGGGGTCATGGCTCATCAGAGCTGACTAGGATTAGAGGCACAAAAGGTTATATGGCTCCTGAATGGGCAATCAATCTTCCCATTACTGCAAAAGTCGATGTCTACAGTTATGGAGTCGTGATCCTTGAGGTTGTAAGGGGTATACGACTATCAAGTTTGGTAGTAGATGATGAACACCATGGCATAGAGAAATACCAGAAATGGTAAAATTTGTAATATGCCGTTAAAGGCGGAGAGCAAATTAACCAGAGGATAATAGAGAAACATAATATCATCTTCACTTCCTAGATCTAATATTGTTTTATCTAAAGGATCAGATAAGGATATCTTACAACCCTTCCACATACAAATTATTACATAGTGCTTGTCTACACTAAAGTTAGTGCACTAACTTGAGATCCTTCTTCAGTAAGATCTGACCTAAGCCAAAGGCAATTAACATTAAGGCTCCACCTCCATCTCCACCCCCCCCCCCTCCTCAAAGCCAATGAAATGGACACAAGGGAGAGAAAAAAGGAGCAAAGGTATATATTCAGACAATACTACAGAAGCATAACACAATTTCCCTTCAGAAGAAAAAGCTAGCTCTGAGCCTCTGACAGAATGAAATTTATGCCTCTAATTTGCATCAGCATATTAGGAAGTATAAATTTAAGGCAGTTTTCTAACCAAGTTCTATCACAAGTGAAGAGCATGGTAATATTACTGCCTTACTGGTCAATTTCAGATCAACATCACAAAAGAAAAATGATAACTCACTGGCATTCTAGCATTAGCATCACCTAGACACCATAATAATAGTATTATTAATGCTAAAAAATGAAATAAAGAGAAGAGGCAAGATAAGATATATCACTAGAAAAACTATAAATTTACTCTGGCTCATACTGAATACCTCTATGAACATCCAAACAAAGTGACTTTTTACCTAGAATTATTGCTTTTTGCTAGTCTAACATGAATGTCAATTTAGAACACAATGTCAATTTACTTAAAAGTTAGAACACAAAGAGAAGAAACAAGGGCAGTGGTTTATCTTATAATTCAAAGAGGTTCAGTACACAAAGCTGCTATATATGAAAAACAAGGCTCAGGTGCATCAACAATTGCTACTTCTCTGTCACCACCTTTGACAAGTTGACACCAACAATTTTAAAAATGATCAAAAATCGCCCAACAAAACCGCACACAGATCGCACAAAAAATGGTAAAATGACGAAAAAATCAAACAATAATAATCAAGAGTAACACTAAAATTACCTAATATTTCAAGTCTTAAAATCGCTGTAATTTGAACCCTTAAATCGCCGAATTTTGAACCCTAAATTGCCGAAAATAAATGAAAATCAAATCAGAAAAATGCAGAATCGACTTTTTTCATGCGGAATTCATGAAAATCAAATCAGAAAATCGATAAATCACATCGCAAAAATCAAATCATAAAAATCGCAAAAAATAAAATCGCAAAAATAAAATCGAAAAATCTACTTGAACATCATGCGCTTTTCATGAAAATTTGAACAAAATTGAAAAAGGAACGTACCTAATTTGAGCAATTTTAGTTGTTTATGTAAAATTTGAACAAAAAATTGCAGGAATTTGTGTTCGAATTTGGGATTTGAGGAGAGAGAAAGACAATAGGTTTGAAAGTTTGAGGAGAGAGAAAATTTTGGACGGTGGGTTAGGTGTTTGAGGAAGGATACTTGTTTTAATCTTAATCGTCCAAAATTACTTAATCGTACGGTTGAGATTGGTTCTTATATAATTAAGATTCTTATATAGTGAGGGGTTCTTATCGGATCCCTCCTATATATATATATATATATATATATATATATATATATATATATATATATATATATATATATTATATATATATACGGAGTACATGCTACGGAACAAGCAAATTGTAGAAAGTCTCAATAGGATGTTGAAAACTAAGGTGGGGTCCAAACAATAGAGTCAAAGTCAACACGATCGTTAGAAAAAATTGCCCGCTCAAAAAAGCTTATGGGCGCTTTTGTTGTTTGATGAGTGTAGAAACAAGAAAAGGTCCAAAACGAAATCAATTTTAAAAATCCTCACAAATCAAAGTTTATTTTAATTATCATGAAATCATTGTTATAACTTATAAATCTTATAATCTTGTAACTATTTACAATTTAATACTTAATTATAAAACATCTTAATTTTGTTAAAAAAAATAAAACATCTTAATTATTACTAATATACAATAATAAAAATAAAAAAATAAAAAAAAAAACACACAAATATAGTTATGCAGAAGTTTTGTTTAATTTGATTCGCATGCTTTTATAATATCAAAATTTATGAGATTTTACTAGTACGTAATTAGAGATATTTAACGTATTTTCAATGGTATGCTAATTATCAAATTAACAAGTCATGATATATAAGAGCTCAATTTATTCTCCTTTTTATAGCCAATCTGTACCCGAACAATTACTACTAAATGGTTATTTAATTTAAACGAGCCCTATTTGCCAAAAGAAGATTGGCCACCATCATTACAATGTTGGCCTTTTTTTTTTTGTCAAGCAAATTTTTGATTTCAACTCCAACAACCAAGCTAATTGTCTTAAACTTATAAAAATTGCAAGCAAATCCCTATTTACAACTAATGTAAATGCACTAATAGTTAAAGGTGGATTGACAACATGGACCCATAAACACAAAACACAACTAAGAAACAGAGAGAGTGTCATTTTACGCCCAAAATTATAATAATAAGTCACATATATGAATAATATGATCACTATTTACGATAACGTATACGTAAATTTTGCCATTTTTTGTTTAACGTCCTCATATATATATATATATATATATATATATATATATGTCACATTCCTTTAAATAATTATGGCTTTAAAACTAGAAAACTATAATATATATACACCAAAATATGATCATATATTTTGATTATAACATTACTCCATATATTATTTTTTAAGCTCCGTTAACAAAAACGTGTTTAAAGTAGGCGTACTTAGTATGAAGTATTTGTGTATATAAACGTGAAAATCAGCTTTATCAATTGATTTAAAATGTGAAAAGTAGTATTTCTAACAAAATTCTAAACGGGAAGAGTGTGAGTATAACAAACTATTATTAGAGCTCTGTTAACAAAAAACCGTGTTAAAATAATAGAATTCGTACTCCGTAACTGATTCTTGAACGGACGAATTATATTGCTTCTTTCCATCTAAGTCTTAACTTCCTAAATTTGGATTTTAGAAGTTGTATTTCAAGGGCAAATGCATCAAGTTCTCATTTCATAAAATTCTAAAAAGGAAGAAAGAAAGAAGAAAGAAAAAGAGAAAAACAAAAAAATATATAAAGTAGAGATATAAATATAAATATATTTATATCATATGATATGATTTCATTTTCGTTTCATAATCGTTTCCATATTGGTACGTCGACGAGTACATAGAAAAATTCAACAACAAAGTCTCGCACGAAGACGAAGACGAACAACTAAGAAGAACGCATTAGTTGAACAAAGCCTAATTCACACATAAAGGGTGTGAAATTACCTAATTTCATTTTCGAATTCATCAATTTCAATTTTTTTTATACAATTTTGGGAGGATTTTTTGTTGATTGCATCGCAAGTTTTCTCCGCCATTAATTCTTCAATTTCGACCTTCGCAATTTCTCTCTCTTCTGCAATTGGTGGCGAAATTTCTGGGTTGAAGAAATTTCTGTAAAAAAAAAAAATGAAGACTTCATTGAAGAAATTGCTTAATCATCACAATAAGCACAATAACAAAGACAGAAAAATTCAGCCTCTTGTTCAATTGGATGAGCTTGCTAAAGCTTCCGAGGTCTGTTTTTTTAGGGTTTAATTTCGATTTTTTGATTGATTTTTATGCAATGTTTATTCAATTTCAATGTATAATTGTTGGTGAAAATAAAGAATTTCATAATTCTTCAATTTTGATGTTTATATAATTATTAATTTTGTAAAATGAATTTGAAATTAACGTGCAATTTTATGTTTTGAATTGAGCAGGCTATGCAAGATATGAAAGACTGTTATGATAGTTTGCTTTCTGCTGCTGCTGCGGCAACAAATAGTGCATATGGTATGATGATTTTTAATTTCTTTTACACTTTAATTATTTTGTATATAAAATTATGAATCAATGTAGTTATTTTGCAATTGTAGCACAAAATTATTATGGAATCGTGTGTATAATTTTTTCTAAAATGATTTCTGATATTCTTCAGAATTTTCTGAATCATTGCGTGAGATGGGTGTTTGCCTCCTTCAGAAAATTGCATTGAATGATGATGAAGAATCTGGTGAGTTTTCGAAATTCGATTTGATTTTCTGCTTCATGTGTTTTGAAACTTATGTCATCTAATTGTTGTTTATCTTCACTTTGAAAATACAGAGACTGGCTTAGTAAACCTGCATTTCATATTAAGTAGCTTTTCTTATCAGAATAACATCAGTTCTCTTTTCATGCTTAGCAACTGATATTTACCCTTGTTAAATTATTTATTTTGGTTCCTACTTATGATATATTTCTTTTTCTGTACTTCCTTTTTGTGTTCATAATTGACTGATTTCGATCTAGTAATTGTTGTTTGTCCTTCCTTTAACCCGAATTTCATTACTTGCCTGTAGGTAAAGTGATGTTGATGCTTGGAAAAGTGCAGTTTGAACTCCAAAAGCTTGTTGATAGCTATGTGAGTCCATTTTGTAATTTGCACAGGGCATTCAATTTGACAATATATACATCTGGTTTACTTTGAATATCACTAATCTTGTCCTTTTACTTTTCAGCGCAATCATATTTTCCAAACTATCACGGTTCCATCAGAGTCACTTATAAATGAGCTTCATACTGTCGAGGTTAGTTTGTTTTGCCACTACTTTTTTGTTTTGTTTCAATTTTTATTTATGTGGTAATGGTATGTGTCACAAAGTCACAGTTAGTGTGTGTCTGGTGGTGCTAATTATTGTACATTGACACAAGATTAAAACTTTATCCTCCCTTCTTTCAACTTCTTGTTTTGCTGAGTGCTGGTTATTTTTATTATGGAATGTCGCCCTTGCAGAAATATCTCTTGCCTCATTCAGCCTTATTGCATTATCATATAAAGGAATGCCCAATCACCCCCCCCCTTTTTTTTAATTGAAGATGGTTCACCTGCCCTGAGTTTTGTATCTTGGGTTTGGCATATGTAGGGGTAAGGGTTGAAAGGAGGACTTTCTTGATGTCATTTTTTGATTCGAATTTGGCTGTGCCTGATGCATTGTATTTGAAATTGTATTGCAGGAAATGAAGCATCAATGTGATGAGAAAAGGTGATTCTGTTTTAAGGGTTTGAATCTCCATTTTAACCATTTTTTGCATTTAATCAAGCAGCCCTTAACCTCGTGCTTTGGGTTTTGCAGGGAATTATTTGAGTACATGAGAACAAAATACCGGGAGAAAGGAAGATCCAAAAGTGGGAAGGGGGACACTTTTACACTGCAGCAATTACAAGCAGCAAAAGATGAATTTGATGAAGAAGCTACCTTGTTTGTCTTTCGTTTAAAGTCTTTGAAACAAGGGCAGTCCAGAAGCCTTCTTACTCAGGCAGCACGCCACCATGCTGCTCAGGTTATTATCTTATTATTGAGCTATTTCTTTTTTGCTATTTTTTTTGGGCCATAGTTGCTCTCTGATACTTTTTATAACTAGATTTTGATTTATGTTTTTGCTGGCAAACAGTTGTCTTTCTTTAGGAAGGCGCTTAAGTCACTTGAGGCAGTGGAACCACATGTGAATTTGGTGACTCATCAGCAACATATAGATTACCAGTTCACTGGCCTCAACGATGATGAGACAGAAGATGTCGAAGATGATGATGACAGTGAAGATGATGATGTTAGCAGCACCTCTAGCATGGAAGATGAAGAAGATTTGAGATCCGATTATCAACGTAATGATCGGCAGCTCAGTTATATGTCTGCTGCAAGAAGCAATATGGAGGTTGGTAGAATTTTACTCAACTTTTGGCTGAAAGAATCTCCATGCATTATCCTTTTCTTGTCTTTCCAATTGTCTGATGTCAGTTTTGTGCTAAACCTGTTAATCATAAAAGGACTTCAAAGCAAGAGTAATACAGATTATGGTGATCATTGATTTTTTTTATGTGGCCTAGAAGAGAATTTTAAGGCTAGTCTCACCCATATCTTCTCCCTTATGCTCTTGCACTCCTCCATATCTTTTGCTTTTCTGCATACTTAATAGAGCTAGGAAGGCTTGTCGCTTGTCAGTTTTTTTTTTTTTTTTTTTCTAACCCATATGGTTGTCTTTTTGAAACTCTTGCACAATTTTATAACATGGTTCATTTGTTTCTATCCATTGTTTGCTTGAACATTTTCTGGTTTCTTTCTTTCTGAGTGTGTTGCATGTTTCACAATGACAAAAGGTCAGTTGGATTTATGTCAGAAAAGTGTGTAATCTGCAGGGAAATGTGAAAGCTAGCCATGAGGATTCTTTTATAAGAGAAAAGAAGATCCTCAGTCAATCAGCCCCACTGTTTACTCAGCGGAAGTTTGAACCAGCTGAAAGGATAAGATTGATGCAGCCATCGTCATCTAGGAAGTTCCATTCTTATGTTTTGCCTAAACCAGGTGATACGAGTAGGGTTTCTGCTTTACAAACCAAGGCACTTCCTCTGCATGCTGAGAATTTATATCATTCATCTCCTCTGGAGCCGAACACGTATGAAAAGATTGTGCGAACTGAAACCTTGTCTGGTCCTATCCTCATAAGCTCAAAGTCAGTATTGAAAGAAAGTAATAACATCAGAATTCCCCCACCTTTGACAGAGGGTATTTCAGTGCAGCAGCTGAAACCTGAGATCACATTGAGTAGCAAAAAACTCAAATTACAATCCTTTTCTGGTCCTTTGACTAGCAAACCTTTGTCAACCAAGCCTTCGTTATCTGCTGGCAATCCTGTAAGTGCCACTGGTGTTCCGCCATTTTCCTCCGGACCCATTTTTAGGAGTACTGTACATCGATCAGCATCATCCCCTGTGATATCCCCTACTACCTCACCAACTTTCACCTCTCCGAGAATAAATGAGCTTCATGAGCTTCCTAGGCCTCCAGTGCACTTTATATATGGTTCTGGCAGACCTTCAGACACTGTTGGACATTCTGCACCATTGGTGTCAAGAAGTTCCGAGAATTCTGCTGCTAGTAAATTCTCTTTGCCTAAGATAGCATCCCCATTACCTACTCCTCCTCGAATAGGTTACTACTCCATGCCCTTAAGTGGTGCTTCTGGAACAGCAACAAAATCACCACCTTCCAGGCCTTCGGAAACTTCACCTGGTTCAGAGAAGTCGGGTGATATTTTCTCACCTCCTTTGACACCAATGATGTTAGAAAATCAGCATCCAACAAAAAGTTGATTTGGACCATCTTGTAGGCTGCTTTACCAGAGGTAAACTTTATCTTGTTTTCCCGTCTGAAAGTTGTGCTTCAAACATTAATAATTGATATTAGATTGCATTGTTGCTTGGATATTCTTGAAGTTCTGCTATATCTATTCATCAAGTATATGAACCTTGTATTCTGACCAAAAAAAGAAAAAAAATAGACTTTATGCACCTGTATTGGGGCTGTATACAATCTGGATGAAGCAAATTATCTTATATCCAAAAGCAGGCATTAAATTTTGTTATTGTTGTACTCGCAGTGTATTTGGCTTTTCTCTCTGAAACTTTACCACATATTTTCTCATAGTTAGAGGAAAGTATAATTCATTTAAAACCTCTTTACCATTATGCTTTCAAATGTTATTGAAAGTTTGAAACTTATACTCAATAGCTTATAAAATTGAGTGTCTTTTACATTGAAGGAGATATATATTACAGCGCAGTCCTTGTGAAATTACAGGTTTTAATATTTGTTATTCTTGTGTTATGTTTGGCTTTTCAATGCCCTTGTGAAGTTGTAGGTTTTAATTTTTGTTATCCTAGTAGTATGTTTGGCTTTTCACTGCTAAGCCTTACCACATATTTTCTATTAATTGCAGAGGACAGCACAATTAATTTACAACCTCTTTGCCATTTTGCTTTCAAATTATAGTGCAATCCCTGTTAAATTAATTTAGTTTTTTTTTTTTTACCCAGTTGCTTGTTGATGATGAATCAACTTCAAGAATATATGTGCAAGAATTTCTAATTTTCAGCTAAAATTAAAAAAAGCTATTCTTGCAGCTAACTAGTATCTTATCTATTTTTGCAGGTCTTATGCATAGTTTGCACCACCTACTGGGCCTATCTGCTCGTAAGTTGGCGCCTAGAAAATCACAGGAACAAGCCCCTGTATAGACTGTACTTGTTTGTGATCATAAAATGCATACAAGCTGGTTATATAGGTATTACAACATGTTTGTTTGTAAAAGAGCATAGATTATATGGCATAGAAAATTAGGAGATAATCTGCTCTTCATTGTTATATGATATAGTCTGTACCATTGGTAGAAAAATGTGCAGAAAGTTCTTCCTTAAGGTACTGCAGAAATTAGGCCTCTGTACATGGTTGCATAATTCTTTTGAAATTACAATATATATTTGTTTATAGGAGTATTATTTTCTTTGTAATAGGAATTTCCCGATTTTCGGGTATTTTTTGCAGAATATAAAGTTTGTAAGATGATATTGTTCATTTTCATTCCAAATTTAATTACTCCCTAGTCCCTACTACTTTGACAGCTTCACTAGTAACATGATCCTGCTTCCTTGGTTAGTAGCTTTTTAGATTTCTCTGTACATCCAATTTTGATTGTTTGAACAAAACCAGTATATGTTAAACTATCTAGATAAGTCTTGAGAATATTTTGCAAAGCTTGCTTATTTGCGGCGAAAGTGTAAAGGAAAACTAGCGTAACTATAATTTATGGGCAAAAATGAATTATAGTTTGGGTGCATCTAGCTGCCCGAACTTTGACTAGTAGTAACCATAACTATTGATAAGGGTACGTGTGCCATTACTTATCCTTTTATTGTCAAAAATGTTTCATTTTGAGTCAAAGAATAACAATTAATGGCAAGCGTTGTACCCCAATTAATAGTTGGTGGTATGCCGACTACTAGTCAAAGTTCAGGGTGCTAGGTGCACCAAAGCTATATTTAAGGGTAATTTTGCCTAATTTATGAGGAATTAAAAGGAACCTTTGGTTAGTTAATTAAGTCTCCCGTATTAACCTTCTTCGTTCTGAAAAAAAATGCTACTCTTCATTTCAATCTGATGTCTTTTTACCTAGTAAATCTGTAACAAAAAAATTACTTGAAATTACAATGATTACTGTGCTTCTTTAGTCTTTCAATCTTTCCACAAACAAAAGTCTTTTCATGCATGATGCATCCGAATATCCGATATTACAGAAGATACGGAAACAAGCAATTTCCGAGAGGTTCAAACCAATTAGAAAATCTACCTCCACAATAAGCTTCCTTACAAAGGAATGAAACCAGTTACAAAACAAGTACTAGTACTAGTAGTTCTGAGGGTTTATAGATATATTACATTTGGGGACAAAACCAAACTCAAAATAAGGATTCATCCAACTTCGAGTCTCTGTCTTAACATCAGACAGAGAATCCTATGGACTAGCGCCTGTTGTTCTCCCTTTTTGATGCAGTATAATGTTAATTATCAGATATTCCTATTACATAATCGCTGTTTTTGCCAAGTAATCTTGCGCCTCTTTGAAATTTCAGTAACATTCTTTGCTGGAGTCATATCGCACAAACCCGATCAATTCCGGTCCTTCTATCCTGGGATTGTTCACAAAACTGCAATAGTCACAGCAGGAAAACAGACCTTTTAGTCAGTCCAGCAGGTAAAATACAGTAATGGAAATTAGCGCCTTAAAGTTAGAAGAATGTAAATTGTGATCACCTCTCCTCTGTGAATTTAGAGAATGAACCAGCTGTTGGAAAGGTACCACACAAGTTATTGTTTGACACATTTCTGCAGCCATCAAATGAAGATTGTGAGAATACAGTTTTTCCCCTTAAAGAGGTAATACGAAGTGTATGATTGAGAGGCATACAGGATCTTAAGGTTTCCAAGCTTGGTAAGCTCTCTGGGGATTCTTCCTGTCAGATTGTTGTTGTTCAATCGTCTGCATACGTAAAGAGCCATCATTAGAAGCAGCTAAACATCATTAACAAAAACGCAATGACAATGTAAAAATAAATCACTTGATTCATGTCAAAACTGTGTGCAGCATAATGATCCTAATTTTATACTGCAACTTTGATAAAACCTCCAAGCACGCATCTCATTCTTGTGTTTGCATGAAGATATTCATTAAAGATGGTTCCTGATTACATTAAATTTCAATTTCCATCTTTGGTAAAAATACAGTTATACAGATTAAAGAAAAGGAACTCGTTAACAGTAATTTCAATACTTACAGAAATTTAAGGTTGGAGAGCTTAGACAGTGACGAAGGAATTGGACCGGTCAGATTATTGTGAAACAGATCTAAGCTCACAAGGCTCTTTAACCCACCAAGCTCCTTTGGTATCTGGCCTACAAAGTTGTTCGTGTACAGTTCCCTGACAAAACCGAACCAAAGTTTAGTCACTCAATTAATTAATCATCCATAATGACGTACTAATTGCTACCTGTCTCAGCATCAACTTATATGGTACTAAGTACTAATTAACATAGTGGAGCCTCAAATTATCAAAGAGACTGGTCCAAAATTTCCTGTGCTCAACTTATGGGTGGTGGGTAGGTTCAAATTCCATCCACAACCACATATCAAACTGATAGTGAAATAACATCAGTCATGTTTTGTTATTAGTAACGTTCATAATAAATAAAGCAGAAAAGATTACCAAGTTCAAGTGGGTACAAGACTATTGCATATATTGGGTCGGACAATAACTGTATTGTTCTTCGAGAAAGGATTAACCCATCTCTAAGTGAATTATTTTTTTCACTCCAAAATACCGTTTCATTCAATCAAACTACATTAATTCGCCCTTGAGAGTAGGTAAAAAATCGACTTTCATTAGTCTCATAGCATTCGATATAACAATAACATAATTACATCCTCAGCCGTAATTTCTCGAAACTCAATATTACTAAAGAAGTAAACTTATTTTTACAAATTTTGAAAAAATTTAAGGGGTGAACTTAAAAGAACCTAAGAAAAGAACATTTTCAAAAATTCATAAAAACTTACTTTATGAAAATAAGGAGGTGAGCATGAATGCAGCAAGATAACTCACAAGTCAAGTTCAGATGCAATAAATAAATAGATAGATAGGTAGATAGCTCTACTGTAAATTCTGCAGTTGATTGAATTTAATTAAATACAAAGGTCAACTAGATTACTTGTCATATTAAGGCAGTACTTATTGCTGAAAAAAAAAAAAAAAAAAAAAAAAAAAAAAAAAAACTTACAAGTATTGAAGGTGCTCAAGCTTTCCCAACTCTGGAACTAATTTTCCTGATAACTTTGCATTTCCAAGATCCCTGTTATCCAATAATTTTACACTAATTAACATTTTACTTACAAGTTAAAGGAAAATGATATATACAGCCGAATAGCCCTCATATGGCTAAAAGCGGAAATATTAAGCTAAATAAATCATTAGTTACACCAAATGACGGGTAATTTTATCATTCATTCCAAAGTTAATACCAATTCAGGTAATTAGCTAGTATTATTCTCTAATGAAATTTTTTTTTACCAACTTTATACATTAATTAACTCAAAACATGGACATTGATATGACCATATGTTGTTGATATTTGGGTCCAAAACTCCAGTTGCAGGGAATTAATCATACTTAAGCATAAATTTAACAGAATGACTAGCTACCACCTCTAAAAGTTATTCCTGTTTTATCAGTGATTATTGCCCCACAGAAAAATTTAAGACACGAACAACTTTTAGAGACGTAGGGGTACTAATTACGAGTAATCGAAATTAGGAAGACGCAAAGTGAGAAGAGAGAGAAATTACAGGCGGGTGACCCGATTATGATGGTCACAGGTAACATGAAACCAAGTACAAGGGTCAACAAGGGTCGGATCCCAACTCTGCAACACATTTCCCGGGTCAATTACTGACCTTCTCAGAGCATACAGAGCATCCCCTGTAAATTACATCAACATTTTTAAAATTATAAACCCACCAAAAAAATAAAAATAAAAGAAACTTTTTTAATTTATATGTTCATTTCTTTAATTAGAAATAAGATATAAACTTTATGTTTAATCAGAAATTAAATCCAGAAATGAAGAAACATAATGAGCAGAATATACCTTCTAAATTAGCATGAACACAGAAAGGTGTTGATAAAATTGAAAGGAAAGTGATTGCAAAGAAAATTAGAGACTGAATTTCCATTGTTACAAAACTTGAAGGTGCAGTTTTTGAAAGGGTGTTTGAAATCACGTTGATTGTGTGAGAGAGGAGAGAGAAAGAGAGACAAGAATGTAAGTTGGGTGGGTTGGGGTTCAGTGAGAAGTGGAAGTGTTTGTTTTGGTAAAGAGGACTAATGACGATGTTTGTGTTGTTTTGTGTGTGATTTTGGGGTTTGTTAATTATTTATTTATATAGACTGAGGAGCATTTTATAGAGCCCATAAACATAAACCATTGGATTTGCTCTTTTTCACCTTTTTTAGTGGTGGTAAATTGGTAAGTAATACTTGTATTAGAGGTGCTCAATTGCTCAGGTAGGGTTACATTGTCATGATGAACCTCGTATTTTTTTTAAATATGAGAAGAGCCACAAAAAAAAATGGTACAAACAACACTTACATTTCAAATGCTGTCGTCTAAGACTTTAACATACTAGTAATATGTACAATGTGAATTTTTTACTTGATTTTTTTGCAAAATTTTACTCTCAAAATAATTGTTATTAACGCTATTTTTTAACTGCATAATGCTTAAAGAAGTTACTTTCAAAACATAAAAGATTAGTTATCATTTGAGGCTTTCAAACATGGATTGAATATTTCAATAACTATCATGGGTTTAAGAAGTTGTATAACTTGTGAATTTGTAATGGTGTTTGTGCTTCTAATTTGTTTTAATTGCTGTAAAAATTGTAGTGTTGGCTTCATTAAGTTCCAAACTTAACTGTTCCTCCTCTATTAAAATGTCATAAAAATTACTTCATTCTAGTAATATAAGTTGTTATTGAAAAGATGCATTAGGTTTTGTCAAAAAAAAAAAAAAAGAAAAGAAAAGATGCATTAGGTGATATATAATCAACCACGTATTTAGAACGAAGTTACCATTTCAATTGTACTCTTGATCAATGACTTGTGTATTTGCATTGGTTATTGACTCCTGGTTAATTATTCGTGCAATTGTTTTCATTGACCCAATTTATGGTTATTGACTCTTTAGTAATCAAGTTTTTCCATGATTCATAATTCATGACCTAATTTATGGTCTTTTGACTTCTTAATCTTTATTTGTCCATTATTACTAGAATGAAGTAATTTTATGTACTTAACTTAGGCTTTTTTGACTTCTCAACTAAGCCATACTTGTGGTTATAGGATATATATGGTTTATCAGTGAAAACATGAAGTTTTATTAGAACTCTATGAGCTTCATCCATTTAGAGACATAATAAGATCAAGGTGTTACTTAATAACCCATAAATGACAAATAAATTATATGAGATAGGAGTTAAAATGGACTATGGA